GAGAAGCGTCCAGGGGGAGCTCCCGCGGCCCCGCGGCTGCGGGCTTTGGGGACCGGTTCTTGCTACTTGCAAAGCCCCTCGTTGTTACTACGCGTATGGAAACCTCATCGAGGCAGTCTCTCCTTTTGTTTTACATTTTCATGGTAGTAAATCCTCACGGAGATAGCGTAAGACTTGAACAGTATCGCCAGCCCTCACTGTTTAAAAGAATTCATTCTCTTTTCCGTGATGGTTGGCCAACAGCTAGAACAAACATCCCGTAGAGGTCCGTGATCCGCTTTAGAAACATCAGGCTGATAGAGTGTAAAATCCCGGGATCTTTATTTTTGAGGAAGGATGGACGCGAACTTCAGGATCTCGACTGCATGCATGCTCCTTTCGCGATGACAAAGGCCGAGCGTGCCGGTGGACTGGTCCAGTGGCTAAACGTTTTTTAAAAAGTGGGTCTTGCCGGGCGGTGGTGTGTGCAGACGAGCTAGGATTGAAGCACGCGCATTAGCTGGGCTGCACTGGTAGATGGATTTGGACAAATGTCATTGCTGGGTTAACTAAGTGGTTCACGGTTAAAACCCGGGGCACTGTCTTATTTGTTATTGATCATGTGTTTTTGCGAACATGTTCTCTTGTGGTTCGTTTGAGGCCTGCCGTCCAGTTTTCTGCATTTTTGTCTACCTGTCTGCAGAGTCCTCTGTTTTCTTGCTAAACTTCCACAGTTGTGGTTCCACCGGGCTCAGCGCTTTTGCAGGATCAGCATACCCGAAATAACTTACTCCCATCGGTGAGGTAAATTCCATGTCACACTGACTCGAAGTAGAAAAGGGATGCTGATTTGTACAGCCCGGTAGAGTTACCATCCAGATGTGCAAAGTGTATCTTTTTTTTACAGAATAAGAAACTGAGTCAGAGCTGAGTAGCTGTGCAGTTTGGATGTAGCCGGGATCCCTGCTTCCTACTGGACAGTGTGCCAGAGCAGGAAGTAGTGTTTACACCTGAATGCATAAGACTTCATAGTCTGTTCCTCTTTTCCTTTAACAGGTGCATCACCCAGTATTTAATTTTGTACTCTGTTAATCTGTATTTGCAGTTTGGCCTTTTAAAGTATTTCCTGTTTGTTTTCTGTGCTAGACAGGACTTCTGCTATGTATGTTTCCTGTTGATTTCCCTTTCATTCCCTGCTGCAAGTTGTGAGTTCTGGTTATTCGATAGGCTGAACATTTCTGGAAAATTTTTCTCTTTTCCTGGAGTTCCTCAGACTCCCAAGGTAGAAGGTCCCAGGGAAAAAGGCAGTTTGTTGGGTATTTTTTTTCTCTAACTCAGGCAATAATGTGTAACCTTTTATCATCTAACGCATTTTTTTTTTTTGGAGGCACCGCTGGGATACGAACCCTAACGCATTTTTTATTGATTGATTTTAGAGAGAGAGAGAGAGACAGAAGAAGTGGGGGAAGAGAGAAACAGAGAGACAGAGACATCGACCCCTTTGTTCCACCTACCCATTCATTCATTTATTGATTCCTGTGTGTGTGTGACCCGAACTCGAAGCCTTGGCATATTGGGAGGACACTCTAACCAACTGAGCTACCCGGCCAGGGCTCAATAGTTTTACCTGCAGTTCTCAAGTTATAAATGCATTTTGAGATCTTTATTAATGGATCTGAGAGAAAATGAGGATACACTCTACAGATAATCCTCAAATCTCATTTTTCTAATAGTTCAAAAGTTTAACAGTATGAAAACTTGCCCCCCCAAAGGAAGGCAAAATTGACTAGCTCTTTTACATTTTATCTTCTCCCTTTTTTATATTTTACAGAAATTCAACGAGGCAAATAAAATAAAGAAAAAGGGATATAGTCAGACTGACTACCACCCACCCTCCCAAAGCGAGTGTTCAATAATTTAACAAGTTGTTCTGGGGTTGTTGGATTATGGTTGTTTCTTTTCTTGTGGTTTCCAGCTTTTCTCTGTGAGCTATTTTTATATTATGAAAAAGTAAGTTTTGCTTGAAAAATAATAGTGTAATCATTGATCGAGCCTGCAACCTGGGCATGTGCCTTTGGCTGGAATCAAACCCAGGATCCCTCAGTCGCAGGCCAATGCTCTATCCCAGGGGTGGGCAAACTTTTTGACTCTAGGGCCACAATGGGTTCTTAAACTGGACCGGAGGGCCGGAACAAAAGCATGGATGGAGTGTTTGTGTGAACTAATATAAATTCAAAGTAAACATCATTACATAAAAGGGTACGGTCTTTTTTTTGTTTTGTTTTATTCATTTCAAACGGAAGGAATCCGGCCCGAGGGCCGTAGTTTGCCCACGGCTGCTCTATCCACTGAGCCAAAACAGTCAGGGCTGGATATTGTTTTAATAAAACTATAGATGTTACGCTGTAGTAATAATAAAAACAGCTATCATTTATTGAGCTATTACTCTGAGCCAGGCATTCTACGAAGTACTTACCTACTATATCTCATTCCTCAGACAGTTTTGCAAAATGAGGATTATCCCCATTTTAAAAATGAGGAAACTAGCCCTGGCTGGGTAGGCCAGTAGGTTAGGGCATTGTCCTGATATGCCATGGTTGCAGGTTCGATCCCTAGTCAGGGCACATACAAGAACCAACCAATGAAGGCATAAATAAGTGGAACAACAAATTGATGTTCCTCTATCTCCCTTCCTCTCTCTCTCAAATCAATCAATAAAAATTTTAAAAAGACTGCTAACTAAAAAATAAAAGAAAAATGGGAAAACTAAATAGAGAGTTAAGATAGTGGCCAAATGAAGATGTGAATTGAAATCTGTTTTGCTCCAACGCCAGAACTACGCTGTTTAGCTTCAGTGCCTCTCTAGAAGACTCTTGCATCTCTCTTTGAACTTGGCATGGTGTCACAAAGGTTGTTGCTACCAGTCCAATGCCAACAGAATTCCCAATGTGCGGTGCTGTGAAGGGAGAAACTTTATTCAAGTGAAGCTGCTCCAGTGAAACAGCTCAGTTGACACAGTTTGAAAACCCTGGAAATGCAGTCTTCAGTAGAAACTGAAAATGCCCTTCTGGAGACAAAGGGGAAGCTGTCTTATATAGAGAAAAATGCCTGCTCCCTGTTCCTGATTGGTCTAATTTCATGCAAATGAAGACTCCCAAGTTCTCCCTGTTCTTTGTATTTATTTATTTATTTAAAATATATTTTATTGATTTTTTACAATAAGGAAGGGAGAGGGATAGAGAGTTAGAAACATCGATGAGAGAGAAACATGGATCAGCTGCCTCCTGGGGATGTGCCCACAACCAAGGTACATGCCCTTGACCGGAATCAGACCTGGGACTCTTCAGTCCACAGGCCGAAGCTCTATCCACTGAGCCAAACTGGTCAGGGCAGTTCTCCCTCTTCTTATTGGTAATTCTGGAGCTGCTCTGATTGGTTGGTAAATATGCACGTGAGGATATAGCTGCCAGCTTTTGATTGGATGGGGAAGGTCTCAGTCCATAAGTTAAAATACAACAGCAGTAGTTTATAAGGGTCTGCTCAAATGGCAGGTACACAATGCAGGAGGTTTGGCAGGTCAGTCTGTGGCTTTTCCCTGAGGTATAGCGAGTGTGAGAAGTCTCTAAACAATGGCTGTTAGACTCTTTATGAATTTGGGCCCAGTTAACCACAGGAGTCCTCTGGACAGTATATTCTTTCTTGGGGTTGACAGTGGGTATAATTAAGTGAATATAAGACCGGGAAGTAAGGGTATTTACTCTTCTGGGGCAGACAGGTTTCTCTAAATACCTAATCAATATCTTGACCTGTACTACCCAGAATATTGCCCCATGGGTATACTTGATCTTAAACAGTATTAGCAATTTTACAAGTGCCCTCTCCTGAAGCCATGATGAACCACATAAATTATTGACATTTTCACATATTGGTTATTTTTTACTTAGCTTTCTTCTTGTAATTATGACTTCATGCCATTAAGCAAGTCTAATTTCTAATGTGGATTCAAATTCTAGTTCTTCTGAATTTTAGCTGTGTGATCTTAGGTAAGTTCCTTAACATCTCTAAAATGTTTTTCTTGATGGTAAAATGGAGATAATTTAGTGAAGATTAGATGACTATAAAATTCTTACTAGTGCCTAAGATACAGTAATGGCTAAAAAACTTGGATTGTCTTTGTAAGGGATTTATGGCACTACATTGTAGAAGAAGTCAGGTAAGAACTTAGAATTTTCAAGTTCATGGAGAGATTTTGAGTTGTGTTGAGGTTAATTTTAAAATTTAGGCTCAGGGCAGAGTGGAATTAAATTGCAGGGAGAGAAATTGAAATTAGATAGAATTTCATAGGAGCAGAGATTCCTGAAATGTGTAGGTTTCTAAGTCTTAACATACCCGGTTGAAAAAAGCATCTTTGGTTTCCATATTAGGGTTAGAGTGATTAGCATAAATCAAAATTTAGAATGACTACACAATTTTTATAACAGTTTTATTGAGATATAAAGTAAAATTCACCCTTTTCAAGTGTACAATTCAATGGATTTTAGTATATTCACAGGTTTGTGCAACTATCACCACTGTCTAATTTTGGAACATTTTCGTGGCTCCAGTAAAGAAACCAGTACCCATAAAGTAACCCATGAAGAAGTCACCATATCTCCCCCACCCTCTCAGCCACTAATCTACTTCTCTCTCTATGGATACCTGTTCTGGCATTTCATATAAATGAAACCATACAATATGTGGTCTGTGACTGGATTTCTTCATTTAGTGTTTTCAGGGTTCATTCATGTTAATAGTATATATCAGTACTTCATTCCTTTGCATTGCTGAATAGTACTCCAGTGTACTGGTGGGCTTATCACATTTTAGGCTCTTTCCAATTTGACTATTATGAGTAATGCTGCTAAGAACGTTCTTGTACAAGTTTTTGTGTGGACATAAGTTTTCATTTTTGTTCCGTATGTACCCAGGAGTAGAATTGTTGGGTCATATAACTATGGATAACCTTTTGAGAAACTGCTAGACTATTTTCCATAATTGCTGTACCATTTTACATCCTCACCAGCAGTGTATTGAGGGTTCCAATTTCACCACATCTTCAATACATGTTATTAGCAGTCTTTTTTATTATAATCATTGTAAAGTAGTAACTCACTGTGGTTTTGATTTGCATTTCTCTGATCACTAATGATGATGAACATTTTTCATTGTTTGTTGGCCATATCTTTGGAGAAATGTCTGCTCAAATCCCTTGCCTATTTTTTAATAGTGTATTTATATTATTGAGTTGTAAGAATTCTTTATATTCAGAATACTAGACCCTTATCAGAGATGGGATTGTTCTGTGGATTGTTTTTTCACTCTCTTGATAGTATCTTTTAAGATAAACTTTTAATTTTGAAGGCAAATTTATATATTTTTTCTTTTGTCATTTGTGCTTTCAGCATGGAGTAATTACAAATTTGAGATAACATAGTAAAATAAAAATTCCTATTTATAGTGATATTGTTGAGCGGTAACTCAAATATTTATAATTGTGTTTCCTTTTTTAAAAATATGTTTTTATTGATTTCAAAGAGAAGAAGGTAGAAGGGGAGAGAGATGGAAACATCAATGATGAGAGAATCATTGATCAGCTGCTTGCTGCTGCACATCCCCTACTGGGGATTGAGCCCCCAACCTGGGCAAGTGCCCTGACTGGGAATTGAACCGTGACCTACTGGTTCATGGGTCGATGCTCAACCACTGAGCCACACTAGCCAGGCTATAATTGTTTCCTTAAAAAAAAAAAAAGAACATCTTAATTTTTAAAATTTTGAAATCTCATAATTCTTACTAAGAAGTGTTTGAGTTGATTGAGCTTCAATAATACTTTTTAAAATGCTGGCTTATGGTTCTTTGGGAACTATTTTTATAGTAGAAATAGATAATTCTTGTTATATTTTTATACTCCTTATCATCCATCTCCTGTGTGTCAGGCACTCTATTTTGATACTTCATATGTGTTTATTACCTCATATGACCATTTTAACTATTTGATGTCATTGTATTGTCTCACCTATGTATAGGAAACTGAAGCCTAAAAAGGACAAATAACATTCCCAAGATCTTATAATTAGGAAATGATATTATGTGGATTTGAATCAAGATCTGTCTTTTATATAGCCCATGTTCTTAACTGTATATTCTATTTTGCTCCCTTAACATCTCCAGAAAAGGATGTTTGTATGCTATGTAGTCTTGTATATACTAGATGCTCAGTACAAGTTTGAATACCATATTTTGTAAAAGTACTTACTTCCATTGACAAGTAGGAGTACTAATGATGTAATAAAGTAGTGTAAGAGTGGCTGTTTATTTTTCAGCCAGTACTGTGAACTTAATTTGACTCTGGAAGTTAAGGTAGAATCTTTCTTTCTCTTGCATCATTATCTCTAGGAGATGCTGCAATCTAATAGACCTGACCTTTAAAGGCAGGTGATGATTAAGAAAAGCTAGGCTATGCTATTCACCTCTAGTTATTCACCTGTGGACCTGTGGAATGGGAAAGAGCAGTGGTATAAAGGTCAGGAGACAGTAGTTCTTGTCCTTTTGTATTACCCATCAGTATGACCTTGGGCAAGTCACTTTCTTTTTCTGAGTTGTTTCTTTGTCTAATTGAGGGTTTGAAGAAGATGCTCAAAGATTTCTGTTTTAAAATTTCGTAAAGTCAAGAAGGGTTTCTGTCTTGCTCACAGTTTTATCTTCCAACACAGAGCAGAACTTGAGTATTTGTTGAGAGGCAATAGAGTGTAATTTGACAGAACTACATAGATCTCACTTTTTCTAGTTAATAATCAAGTGACCTTGTACAGACTTCTTAATTTATCTGGACGTTAATTTCATCATCTGTAAAATGGGGATAATAAAAGTACTGTAGGGTTTATTGTGAAGATGAAATAATATATGCAAAATATTTAACACAATACTTGGCACATACTAACACAAATTTTTGTCACTGAATTAATATATGGTAATCTGTTCTTTGTCTTTTTCTTTCATTTTGATCATAGTTGTTTGTTTATTTATTTACTTTTTAATATACTTTTTTGACTTTTTACAGAGAAGAAGGGAGAGGGATAGAGAGTTAGAAACATCGATGAGAGAGAAACATCGATCAGCTGCCTCCTGCACACCCCCTACTGGGGATGTGCCCGCAACCAAGGTACATGCCCTTGACCAGAATCGAACCTGGGACCCTTCAGTCCGCAGGCCGACGCTCTATCCACTGAGCCAAACTAGTTAGGGCAGTTGTTTATTTCTTAAAGAAGCTTAATTGAAATATTCATCTTATTTTGTTAGAATACAGTGTAATTATGATAAAGGTCATAGTTTTATCCCACGAGTATTATTTAGCTTTTTCTTCCTCCCATAGTCTGTATCTCTAACCCCATTGTCACCAAAGAGATCTGAGTGAAAAGAGAGAGTGTGATGAAATTAATGCAAAGCTATTGCTTCTACTTGGAAAACAACTTAAACCTTCTGCCACATTGCTGATGTATTGGAAGAATCACCTTTGTATGTGACAGACAGCATTATGGAAGCCTAAGGAGGGAGATTGTGCTTTTTAAGGGATTCCCAGAAATGTGATTTTTAAAAATCTTTTTTCCTAATTCATCCTTAATCAGAAATGGATCAGAAAGTCCATGGAGACATGGGTAGAAGAAAAATGTCCATGGTATATATAGGATACAGGTCCACAATCTCTTAAAACCTTTAGTGTCTGATATATTTGAGAATTCCAAATTTTTCAGATTTGATAAAAGCTAATTTTGTACATGTATTATTACATAATATCCTCATCGAGATCTGGGCAGTTTCCAGTAATCAGACATTATCATTTCTATAATGAAATGCAGTTTATGTGGGATAAGTAGAACATAAATAGCTTTATATCTGTTGACACTATATGTTGCTGTCAAATTAGTTTATTGAAAACCTATGAGATATTTTTTGGTTTTCAAAGGTTTTTGATTCTGGGATTTGTAGATATGAAATTGAAGATCTTATTCACTCACAAGAATGCCATGCCTATAGAAATGTTAGCTTTTTAAAAAATATATGTTTTTATTGATTTTAGAGATGAAGGGAGAGGGAGAGAGAGATAGAAACATCAATGATGAGAGAGAATCTTTGATTGGCTGCCTCCTGCACGCCCCCTACTGGGAATTGAGTCCACAACCCAGGCATGTGCCCTTGACCGGAATCCAACCCAAATCACCTGCAGGCCAACGCTCTATCCACTGAACCAAACCGGCTAGGGCGAAAGTCAATGTTAGCTTTCTTTAACAACTATAATGTTCCTCTTTTTTAGTTGCCTCTAAATTAAAAAAAAATTTATAGAATTTTAAAGTCAGAAGTGAATCATCAAAATCCTTTATAATAACCTATATCATAGTTTCTATTAAACTTAAGTTTTTATTTGTGAAGTACTGGGTTAAGTTAAAATGATGTTATCTGTTTGTTGCTAGAAGAAAAGTTAATACTGTTTTATTCTCCACAGCCAAATCCAATATCTGTCAACTTTAAATGGAAGAAGTATGTAACTGGAAGCCTTTACTTGATTTTATATTTAAGAAATAATAACGATGCCATGAGATTCCATGCTTGTTTCTTCCTGTGGGGTGCATAATGAGGGACATGCTCTGCGGCTTTCTGTTTTCCTGGGGTATCTGTATTTCATTGATCCACAGGGTACCTAGTTTTCATACTTGAACATTTCAGAAAGCAAAATGAGTAACATGTATCTTTGGCCAGATGGATGTTAGGATATACTTTCACAGGCAGAACATCAAACACAGCATCAACATTTGCATAATAAGTGTCATCATGGGCTTGGAATAAAATCTAAGAGACATTAGTGAAGTGCTCTTTGAACTTCAAGGAACCAAATGGTTAAAAAACAGTGGGGGTGAAAAACAGCTAGTACAAAGCCAGCTAAGAGCTAAGAGCTTTTGATTCTTTTATGGATTCTTTTATGAAATGCTGCATTATTGGTATTTTTGATACAACTTTTTGTGGGATAAAAACATTAATCTGATCACCAATAGAGCAGAATTCCTTCCCCATGCCCTGCCCTATCCTCCCCTCCCTTCTCCCACCCTCACTGGTGTGGATGCTTGTTTTTAAAGTCATGTTAATAAAAACATAAAAGCAAAAAATATATATATTAAAATCTGAGTCATGATTCATAAGCATTGGACTCTGAATGCAAAGTAGTTTTAGAAGCACCTAAGGCAATTTGTTTTGCTTATGTTTTTCTCTTTATATATGTGAAAGGTTAATATAAAAATTCCAAGTCTAAAAATTCTTTCAATAAACAAAAGTAAAAAGAAGTGGTAAGAAAACACTGTCATAGTTAATGGTTTTTTCTTTATTAGTATACTAGAGGCCCGTTGCACGAAGAGATTCGTGCAACAGGCCTTCCCTTCTCCTGGCTGCTGGCACAGGTTTTCCTCCGGCACCCGGGACCCAGGCCTTCGCTCCGGCCGGAGCCGCCTTCAGTCTTCCCTCCGCCGCTTGGAGCCTATGTATGCAAATTAACCGCCATCTTTGTTGGCGGTTAATTTGCATATCACACTGATTAGCCAATGGGTGGCGTAGCGAAGGTACGGTCAATTACCATGTTTGTCTATTAGATAGGACTAGAAGCCTGATGAACGAAATTCGTGCAAGAGTAGGCCTTTCTTCCCCCAGCTACCGGCACCAGCTTCCCTCTTACACCCAGGACCCAGGCTTCCCTCACAGCCCCAGTTTTGTCCGGAAGGACATCCGGTCTAATTAGCATATTATGCTTTTATTATTACAGATAGAATATTGATGTATCCACATATTATCCAGTGGTTCTCAACCTTCCTAATGCCACAACCCTTTAATACAGTTCCTCATGTTGTGGTGACCCCCAACCATAAAATTATTTTTGTTGCTACTTCATAACTGTAATTTTGCTACTGTTATGAATTATAATGTAAATATCTGATATGCAGGATGTATTTTCATTGTTCGCGACCCACAGGTTGAGAACAAGTGAATATTATACTGAATACAGTATGATTAACTGAATGTATTAGATTAGATGAAATACGGTAGATAAATATATCAAGTTAGAATATTTGGCCACAAGCTATAAGTTGTGCTCTTGCTTCTCATCTAATTTTATTCCTCTTTTTATTTTATTTTAAATTTTTACTGCATTTATTGGGGTGACTTTGGCAAATACTATTCCTCTTTTAACTTTTGGTGTTTTGGCAATGTTCTTATCACAGACCAGTGAGATACGGAGACATCATGAGAATTCTAGTAAAGATGCCCTTTCCCACTCCCTGTGTGTGAGTGAATGCTAAAGGTCCTAAACATCTTCTAACCCCCATTCCCACTTTCTCAGGGTTGGCTCCTTTATCAGGCAAGTGCCCTGCATGGACATTTGGGGATCTGGTATAGCACCACAGTAAGAGATATATTTTATGTTTCTACTTGGTACACATATAAACAAATACTATTAAAAATAAACTTTCTTTTTTACATGTGCTTAGTATTCTATTGTATAAATGTACCACAGCTTTTTTATCCACTCATCTACTGCTGGGCGCTTGGGCTGTTTCCAGATCTTAGCTATTGTAAATTGTGCTGCTATGAATATAGGGGTGCATATGTCCTTTCTGGTTGGTTTTTCACGCTTCTTAGGCTATATTCCTAAAAGTGGGATCACTGGGTCAAATGGAAGTTCCATATTTAATTTTTTGAGGAAACTCGCTCTGATTTCCATAGTGGCTGTACCAATCTGTATTCCCATCAGCAGTGCACAAGGGTTCTTTTTTCTTCACATCCTCACCAGCACTTGTTTGTTGATTTAATGATGGCAGCCATTCTGACAGGTGTGAGGTGGTACCTCATTATTGTTTTAATTTGCATTTCTCTGATGATTAATGATGTTGAGGGATCTCTTACCCTTTGAGACAGCATGGAGGGACCTAGAAATAAGTCAGTCAGAGAAAGAAAAGTATCACATGATCTCACTTATGTGTGGAATCTAATGAATAAAATAAACTGACAAACAATATAGGACAATAGACATGAAAGAACGAAACAGGCTGATGGATCTCAGAGGGAAGGGGTTCGGGGTGAGGCAGAAAGAGATTAATCAAATAACTCATATGCATATATGCATAACCCATGGACATAGACAATAGTGGGATGAAGGCCTGGGGAGGGAATGAGAGTGGGGAGGGGAGGTCAATGGGGGAAAAAGGGACATCTGTAATAGTTTAAACAATAAAGATAAACTTAGCAAAGAAAATAAACTTTCACAAAACAATATTTAACAAGTACTGGTCGTAACTCAGTAAACGGATTTTGTGATCCTTTACTGAGTTTCAACCCATATTTGGAAAACTCTCCTTTTCTCTTCCTCTCTATTATACACATATGTGTACCCACATATACATATGTATGTGTGTGTGTTTACCTTTCTCATATGAATAACTGAGCTATAATGAGTTGTGGATAGTAAACCTTAAATTTCTAGTTCTTGCTTTACTGTTTGGGAAATTCAATATGAAATTATTTTACTTTATAGGCTGGAGCATTGGATTTGCTGAAGGAGCTTAAGAATATTCCCATGACCCTGGAATTATTACAGGTATGTACTGCTATGTGTCATAATTTTTTAATAGGTAATGGTCATAAAGTACTCAAATGTCTTCAATACCAAATTTTTTGTCATTGCCTTGCAGTCCACAAGAATTGGAATGTCAGTAAATGCTATTCGCAAGCAGAGTACAGATGAAGAAGTTACATCTTTAACAAAGTCTCTCATCAAGTCTTGGAAAAAGTTATTAGGTATAATTGATCTTCCCTTATGTATATTTATGATGTTCTGGTTTATTTAAACATTTGAATTTACTAGCAGTTTTCTTGTCTTTGAATATTTATAACTAGATTGCCTCTTTAACTAATAAGACGATTTCCCCCCAAAGAGAAGGTTGCCATACTTTAAAAATTTTTTGTCATATTTGTTTTGTCATAGTCTCTTTTTCTCTCTCTATATGTACTCACACACAAATTATTTTTTCTGAACCTTTGGCGAATATGTTGCATCTATCATGCTTTACCCTTTAATACTTACATGTCTTTTTCCTTATAACAAGTTTATTTTCTTATGTAATCATAATACAGGAAATTCAGGAGATGTAACATGAGAATAGTACTTTAATCTTCAGGGAATATTCTATTTTTGTCAGTTGTCCCAGTGTCCTTTATATCTTTTATGACATTGACATGAAGATTACAAGCATGCTGTACCCTTTGCTTTAAAGCATGTTACTTATTTGGGGTTTAGCTGCGATTTTCTCATGATTAAATCAGACTGTGCATCCACAGTTACAATGCTACATAAGTGGGTTGTATCCTTCTTGGGGTTTGAGACCCAGAGGCATTGATGATGTAAATTTTGATTACCCAGTCAAGGTGTACACTGTATCATTTATTATTTTTCCTCTTGCATATAATAGGCATTCTGTGGGAGATACTTTAAGATCTTGAAACTATCTTGCTCCTCATCAGACCTCCCTACCTTTCTCCCCAAACCATTTTTTTATAGTGACAGTTGCAAAATAGTGATTTTCTCTGTCACTTCCTTAATATCTATAAATCATTATTCTGCTGTAAGAAAGAACCTTCCTTTTATACCTCCCAGTTATTTATCTACTAGAGATCTGGTGCACGGATTCATGCACCTGTTGGGTCCCTCGGCCTGGCCTGCGCCCTCTCACAATCCTCCCAGGAGGATGGCCAGCTGGGGAGGGACCGCAGAAGGGCTCCAGGGCATGTCTGGCCCGTCTTGCCCAGTCCCGATCAGCTGGACCGCAGCAGCAAGTTAACCTACCAGTCTGAGCGTCTGCCCCCAGGTGGTCAGTGCACATCATAGTCACTGGTGGGACCGTCGAACAAATAGTCACATGAACGGTCGGACACTTAGCATATTATGCTTTTATTATATAGGATTCTTGGTGTGGACACATGATTCCTTTTATGTATTATGGACATACAATGGATTATAATCCATTCATATTTATTTTGGTATTTACATTTTCCCAAATTTGACCAGTGGGCAGTTCTTTAAATTGGCTCCTTTGTCCCTTTGACAAGCCCCCTTCAATTTTTTTTTACTCTCACATTTTGGTATCACAAAATGTATTGGTCTCGTCCATCTTCCTTGTCCTAGCCCTGGAATTAGTCATTTCTCTAATCAGTTATTGGCTTTATATGGAAGAGAAAATAGAAAAACTGAACCTTTTAAAATTTCAAGGGCCACAATAGTAATAACAAAAAACATATTATAAGAACGTGGTAACTAGAAACTAAAAATTGTTAAGCCTATAGTATTAATTGTCTGGTCTTAGGATAACAAAATGTAATATAAGATTCTGTGAATATATTAGTGCTTTTTGGCTTTTGCTGCTGATTATAATTATTAAATTCTCATTTTTACTCTATATTTTATTTCCTTTTATTAAATTTTCATTTATATTTCATATCCTTTTTTTAAAAAAAGTGTTTAGATTAAACAGTACATTAGACATGTATTGTGTATAAGAAAGGTTAAAACAGGGGGCCTGGAATGAATTAATCAATTTACATTATTTTTAATGGGAAATAATGGTTCGATTTTGAACAACCTTTCGGAATGAATTAAGTTCCAGGACTGAGGTTCCATTGTATCTATATTGTATTTTTAATGAAAACAATTTTTGTATTTTTTAAATCATAACTCATTTTTATTGGTTTCCAAATAATCAATCCATTGTGTGACTATACAACAATTTAATCTCTTGCCTATTAGATTTGTTGTTTTTAACTTCATGGCTATTATAAATAATATCTTGATGAATATCTTTCTGACTAAAGCTTTTTCTTTAGGATGTTATTAAATTTCTAGAAGGTTTACTGCTGCTGCTACTAGGTAGCACAGTTTTGAATGCTTAAGATGTGCCAAGTGTTGATCTTTATTAGTGCATTTAATCCTCCCAACAATCGAGTGTGCTAGGTGCTGTTATAATTCTCATTTTGTGATGAGGAAATTGAGGCACTGAGAGACTGAGCACTTTATGCATAGTTGGACTGGGTCCAGTAGGCAGATCTGTTCACAGAAAGTCTGAGTCCAGAGCTGGAGCACTTCCCTGCGGCTGTGCTGCATTACCCACAGCACTATTCAGATAATGGGCATGTTTTTAAGGCTGCTCACACTTCTTATCGCTCTGCTTTCTGATTTATATTGTGCTCATTTATACTGTGCTGGAGCAGTTTGCACGATCTGTTTTATTGCTCTTCTGAGAGCTTTGGATCCTTGGTAGATAGTATTGCATTGTTATATCACCTTTCAAATGTTTTCTACCCTATTATTAATTTTTTTTTAATCCTCACCTGAGGATATTTTTTCTCATTGATTTTTTTTTTTTTTGAGAGAGAGATTGGGAGGGAGCAGAGAGGAAGGAGAAAGAGAGAGAGAAACATCCATGTGAAAGAGACACATTGATCGGCTGCTTCCCGCATGTGCCCCAACTGGCCAGGAGTTAATCCTGCAACCCAGGTATGTGCTCTTGACCGGAAATCGCGGGCCAGTGCTCTAACCATTGAGCACACCCGCCAGGGCTCTAACCTTTTACTTTTGAAATATTTCTTAGTCTTTGCTGTATTCTTTAATGTCATTATTGATCTTTGTTTTCTTCTTCATGACACTAGGGCATCTTTATGTTTGGGGGTTTTCTAGGTGAATTTTAGAGAATAACGGGGCAGTAAAACGAATATGTGAAAACTAAAGCATACACTTAGCATAGGGTATTTGAATTATACTTCAGGTTTGGTAACCCTAACCTTTACGAGATAAATTGTAGAATTGAGATTTGGACCAAATTCTTTCAGTTACTCATCCAGAATAGCTATTAGAATCATCTGAGGAACTTTAAAATTTTGATGCTCATGCCTCACTGCCAGAGATTTGGGTTGAATGGCTCGGGATGGGAGGATGATGAGGATATGCTTAAAGGTTGCCTCAGTGGTGCTAATATACAGTCGAATGTATGTTCTTCTGTATTCTCTACAGAGATGTGGAGAATTGAATTATTTGTATATCTCTTATTACTTAGGTAGAGATAAAAAATTATTCAGTAGATCCAAACATTTTCTGAACCCAGCTTTGAGGCTCTTTTGGTTGATTTAAACATGAGTGTTTCTTTTTAGTGCTTAAATATTGCATTGGCCCAATCTATTTTATGTGCTTTATTTCCCAGTTGTAATTGTTCACCTCCTTAAGTCTTAAAGCCTGAGCACTCTGTATTACCTTACATATTACTTAAGATTGAGGAAGTGCTGGGTAGGCTTTACTAATCGTGAAGGACTTTCTGTGAAAATGTTTTTGTTACTACCCCTGAAAAATTTATTTATATTTTGGGTACCACCTTAAATGTTTTGCCTTCATGAAAAATTATTAAAACAATATTGCTATATATACTTTGTGCTTTCATTGTTATGACAGTGCTGCTATTTTTTTTCATATTCTTTCCTTCCCTTTGTATACTTTTCCTCTCTTTTAGGGTCCATTGGCATACAAATATATGGTTTCCACTAAATTGGGGAGTTTATTTGGGAATACTGACAAGCATTCATTGTAACAAATACCCAAGTACATATGATAAAAGAATAGCTTAAGTAAATTTTATTTACTTGTTGAAAACTTAGGATTTTAGTTTTTTTGTTTCATAAATAGCCTGATAACATGTAGTAGTTTAGTTTTGTTTTGTTTTTTAACAAATGCTAACAACTTAAGGATTTCATAAATTTTTAGATGGACCATCAACTGATAAAGATCCTGAAGAAAAGAAAAAAGATACTGCAATTACATCACAGAATAGCCTTGAAGCAAGAGAAGAAAGGTATTTTGCTCCGTGGGAATTCATTTATGTTGAAAGTCATAGTTTCACTTGACCATCCCACCTCCTTGATCTTATGACCCCGTATCTGTACTCTTTTGTTTTCTAATCTATTGGAATTAGCTAAATATTTTGAGGTTTCTTAGAAAATTTCTTGGAAATTTAAAGAGAGTTAGAAGATCCTACATTAACTAGAAGAAATTATTTACATTGTACTCAATAAGTTTAATTGAATGGAATCTCTAGGGTAGTACTACTAGAATTGGCAATGAAGGTACTGATGAGGGATTCAAATGGTTTCGTCCTCTATTTACCACATTCCTGTTTCAGATTTTTAAATTTTTTGTTCCTGGATCTAATTTTCCTTTTTATGATTTTATTTCTCTTTCCAGTTTAGCTATTTGTCATAAGAACTGAAAATGTGAAGTTCAGTAATGAAGGATTCATATTGTTTTGCAGATCTTAGGAGCCCTTTGCATTTATTCTTTCTTCTCACAGATAATGAACTGTGATATCCAACACATTGATGTAAAACGTGATATGCCTAGTAGATTAAAAACAGTTCCTCTGTTCTTGGAAAGCTTGTACTTAGTTCCACACCTGACATTGATTTTTAGGCATTGGTTCTCAAAGTGTGGTCCCTGTAAGAGCAGGGGACCTGGCAACTTCAGCAAAGCAAATTCTTGGGCATTACCCTAGAACAGTGATGGCGAACCTATGACACGCGTGTCAGAGGTGACACGTGAACTCATTTTTTTGGTTGATTTTTCTTTGTTAAATGGCATTTAAATATATAAAATAAATATCAAAAATATAAATCTTTGTTTTACTATGGTTGCAAATATCAAAAAATTTCTATATGTGACACGGCACCAGAGTTAAGTTAGGGTTTTTCAAAATGCTGACACGCCGAGCTCAAAAGGTTCGCCATCACTGCCCTAGAACTACTGAATTGGGAATTCTGGAAGTGGGGCCTAGAAATATGGTGTTTTTTTTGTGTCTTTTTAAAATATATTTTTATTGATTTCAGAGAGGAAGGGAGAGGGAGAGAGAGATAGAAACATCAATGATGAGAAGGAATCATTGATCAGCTGCTTCCTGCACGGCCCCCTTCTGGGGATGGAGCCTGCAACCTGGGTATGTTTCCCTGACGGAATTGAACCCATGACTTCCTGGTTCAACCGCTGAGTCACGCCAGCCGGGCTAGAAATATATTTTTAACAAACCTTTCAAGTGATTCTGATGCACTCAAATTTCAGGCTACCTTTTTAACTTCATTTATCTCTCAATATTTTCCCAAAATTGATAATGTACTTATTTTTTTTAGTAGCCAAGAAAAATATATAACACACACTGTTACTTTACATATTAATACTACTTAAACTTGATAATAAAAGAGGTAAGCTAAAGATAGGGTTAAACACCAGTTGTTAATAAAACTTAATAGTTTTTCTAATTGTTTTGAGATAATTTTAAACTTTTTGAAAATTGTAAGAGTAATATTGAGAACTCCTAATTGCCCCAATATTTACATGCATATGATACACAAACACACACGCACAAACTGGTGTTATTTTGAATAAAATAAGTCATTTTTAGGCATATGCTCTTTATGCCCGTAAATGCTAGCTAGAGCAATGTGTATTTTCTAAGATCGGGGACATTTTCTCGCATATAACCACAATAAAGCTATATATATACAGAAATTAACATTGATACCTTTTTCTAATCCAAATACCTTATTCATATTTCAACAATGTCTTTTATTGCAAGGGAAAAAGATTTTTCCAAAATACCATTCAGGATCACACTTGCATTTAGTTATCATATCTCTTTAGTTTTCTTTATCTGGAGTGATTCTCAGTGTGTCATTGTCTTTCATGACCTTTATATTTTTTGAAAGTACGGGCCATAATTTATGAATTTTTTAACATATGCTTCCAGTTGTCTAATTTGGTGACATTCAGAATCACCGATTTAATGCCTTGAATATAAAATAAAAATGTACAGACATTGGTTCTCGAATGTCTCCCATTGTGAACAGTTTGGTTCTTGAACAAGTTGTTCACAGGAAAATGTCTAAACAGCTAAATGTAGAATATACACAGAATGGCCTTTTTGCCCACAGTGATCTTGTGAAGTTTGAAAACGTTTTGGAGAGAAGGCAAGGAGGTATCTGCTTGCAACAGAGAAGGGAATTAGATCTATGGAGGGTGAATAATTTAGTCTTGAGAAAGGTTTATGGCAAATAATCTCTAATGTGATAAAAGTTAACCGAAACCAGTCAGAAAAGTATTTTGGTTAGAATCTAATATAAGTTAATCATAGCAGTTGAAATGATTAGGTTGTCTGGAAAATTATTAAACTGTCCTAATTAAGTGGTGATTCTGGGGAGAAATTAAGAGGCATTTTTATATTCTTGCAGCTCATTTCTCACTATACATGATTTTTATCCTGAAGGGGATGTTTTAAATGTAAAACTCATTGGTTATCTAATTGGAATAGGGTTTTTTAAACATCTCTCCCCCTTTTTTTAAGTTGAGAGCTGTCATATTCCCTTCACCCCTTTCCTAATAAATAAGATCTTTGTTTTTCACTTACTGTATTGAACTATAATGTGTATTTTCTATATTAAAATATTGTTTAATTTTTAAAAGAATCAAGATCAAATGTTTAGTTGGTTAAAAAAAGACATGAGACTTCTCTTATCTTTACTAAAATTTTAACTTTTTAATCGATATGCAGGCAATTTTTTTTAATGCAAGAGTCACTATCTCATTTATTTAGGGCAAAAACATTATTTTTAGAGAGTGATAGTAATGATGTTAATTTGAGTTTTCCCTAATTTTTTTTATATTTGATATTTTTTGGTGTGTGTGTATTTTATTTTTATTTATTATGTGTGTGTGTATTTTAGTAGCTCCAGTGGCAGTGTAAGCAGCAGAAAGGATGAGACGAATGCTCGAGATACTTACGTGTCATCATTTCCTCGGGCACCAAGCACTTCTGACTCTGTACGGTTAAAGTGTAGGGAGATGCTTGCTGCAGCTCTTCGAACAGGAGATAAGTTTAGTATATGTTATTTCAGTGCTCAGTCCTTTGATCATCACCACTACCAATGCCATGTGCACCTCCATATTTCTGTTTTACCAGCGGCATCCCATTGATAGCTGACCACCGCTGCTTAGCTTAGCTCGGAGTAGTTGTTGTTATAGGGGTTGCTAAAGGCAGAGAGGTAGGTATAGACATACTGAGGCCTTTCCCTATCACTTTATAATTCCAAGAAATGGATTCCTTCTAATGTATGGATGTTTCCTGATTGATAGTAATTGAAACTTTCTTTTACAAATATTTTCCCCCCACATTTTAGTCTGCAGACTATTTCCCCCCCCACCCACCCACCCCGTAGACAGTTAGTGATACTGTATTTTGGTGACATTGTTAAATGTTAGTATGACATATAGTATATAAGTTTTGTATTCATAATTTTTTGTACTTTTTTAAAGGAAATTAATATTGATTTATATATGAGACCTCTAATTTAATTTAGTTTGAAGGTATTTTTATTATGTAAAAATTTGGCTTTAAAATGTCATATACAAGAATATTTACTTATCATCTTAAAGAAATTCTTTTTTTTCTATTATACTGAGCCATAGTTAGTATGACCTACTTTTCTCCTTACTCTGCCCTTTCTACATTGATTCCCTTATTATCTTTTTTATATTTTTTCTTTTTTCTTCCTACTTTCTTTATATTTCCTCCTGTTCTTTTTAATATTTGCATAGGATTCTTCTGAGTGTGAACATATATGTGCGTGGCAGATGAATGGCTTCTTTGCATTGAAGCCTGAATCACAGGACATGAGACAGTTGTTTCTATAACTTTTTCTACTCTTTGCTGGAGCCAGCCAGACTGTATGGAGTTATGAAATGGGGAATTACCTTCTAGATCACTTCCCCACTCCTGCGGGATAAGGAGCACTGTGGACATTAGGTGAATACAGAGGAGTCGTCTAGTAGATAGTAAAGAGACCAGATCCTAATGACACTGAACTAAAAGGATTCTTTATAGACGGCAAATGGGGTTGAAGAAATAGGAGTACAGTTTAATTTACTCCGTATTGATTTTTTAAGAGTATGTTACAATCACTTATTCTTGATAATTCATTGTGTCTTTTTTAGATGACTACATTGCTATTGGAGCTGATGAAGAAGAATTAGGATCTCAAATTGAGGAAGATATCCTTTGTGGCTATATGCATAATTGTTTAATCTGTTAGATTAATTATAAATTTTTCTTTCTGTATAACATTTTCTATTTTATTTTATTTTATTTTATTTTATTTTTATTTTATTTGTGTTCTTCAGTTTCTATCTTGATTGTATTGTTTTGATCGCAAAGGTGAGGGTCATCCATGTCCTTTTTTTATTCTTTTTGTTTTCCTGTCATTCAAAAGTAAAGCGCATAGTATTGATAGCATTTTTATTTTTCTGCCATGCAAATGAGAATGTACCGTCTCCATTGAAGCTGTGCAAAAGGGCATGGAAACCACACACTACCTGTGTGAAGTAGGATTTCACATTTTGGGGGCACTCAGCAAAGCATACCATACACAATCTCCTGAGCTCACTTTCCCATGAGAAGGGCTCTGGGAGAGGAGCTTTCCATGTAAGTGCGGGGAGCAGGGGACATCTAGGTACAGTGTGGTGGAAATAGCCTCCTTAGAAAGGGACCTTCTCATGCTCAGCCTCTGCTGTGGCCTAGTCTTTCTTTTTTTAAATCCTCACCCGAGGATTTTCCATTGATTTTTTAGAGAGAGTGGAAGGGAAGAGAGAGAAACATCGTCGTGAGAGTGGCACATTATTGGTTGCCTCCTGCACACAGGATCGAGCCTACAACCGAGGCACGTGCCTTTGACCAGAACGAAACCCGGGACCCTTCAGTCCGAAGGCTGACGCTCTATCCATTAAGCCAAATCGGGTAAAGTTTGTGGCCTATTCCTTTTCAGAAGAATCTGCTGACCTAGCTTTTTGCTAAGCTGGGGAAGGAAATGAACCTTCAGGGCCACCATGAATGGTCTCTTATATGGTCCTCAAGAGAACTGTAGTGCTTAAGACTTTTAGGATCCTTGGTAGAATTCATATTTGGGCAAGTTAAAGCTTGTATAAGTTCAAGCTCTTTTTCTAAGGTTGAGTACTTGAGTTTCTTTTTGAAACAATTTTTATTTGTGTGCTTGTGGCAATAAACATTAAGAAGAAAGCATTGCTCATTCATAGCCTAAAGGTATAATCACTATTATTTGTCAGTTACAAATCAAGGAATCTTGTAGAAATAGCCTTTTTATTAACCTAAATATAAATTGAAACAGATTTTTGTAAACTGCTTAAAAATTTCAGAAATTTTGGCAAAATAGGAAAAATTAATTTTACCTTTATAATTTAACCTTTTTTTCTTTAACGGTCTATACCTATATATCAAGAAATAAGGAATACAGACATGAAATACAAAAACAGAGTACGAAGTAGAATATCAAATCTTAAGGATGCAAAGAATCCAAATTTAAGGAAAAATGTGCTGTGTGGCAATATCTCTCCTGACTTATTTGCTAGAATGACGGCAGAGGTGAGTATGTCTGTATATAATGTTTCCATGATGTCAAGTGTAAAGTCTGTTTAATCATAATAAAGTGCTACATGAATACTACCTGTACAGTAAATCATTATTAGCTATTCTAATTAACTTATTTATACAATATATTAGACAAATACTTAAGGACATTGAATCTCTTGGCATCAAGACTTTATCCCTTCCATAACTGTACCATGATTTTGCCTTAAATTATTGTCTGAAGACAAAGTGTTATAATTTATTATGGATTCGTGTGGAATCGAAAGTTGAATTTCTAATTGCAAACAGACTTTGAAATCACTAAGTTCTTTCTATGGTTAAACCCTACAAAATTGGTGACATCTTACTGACTTTTCTTTAAAATTCTATAGAGAATGATGGGAAAAATGAAATTCGTAGTTGGCTATTTATAGACATAGCTATTCATAGATAAAAACTGTAGTGTTTCTGTAATCTCATTATTAAGCATCCAAGAGTATGAATTTTTTTCTATATAGCTAATAAAAATTGCTATATATTTTAAGTGTATTAAAAACACTCATTAAAAGTTATTTTAAACTTTCACAAAATAGAGAACATAGTGTAATGAAATCCCATATATCTTTCATCCAGGCTTCAAGTATTTTCAAGAATTTGAATCCTTTTCATCTATCCTTTTTCCTTCTTTTCTCCTAAATTATTTTCAAGCAACTCTAACATGTTCTTTTACCTCTACATACTTGAGAGGTATATTTAAAAATGATATTTTTCTTACATAATGTCATCACCACTTCCAACAAAGCTATCACTAATTCTTTGGTATTACCTAATACCTAGTTCATATCCTATTTTTTCTGTATTAGGATCCAAAGTCTGCACATTACCTTTAGCTTATGATTGTGTGTGTGTGTTTTTGTGTATATCTAAAACAATTTCTTCTATCCCTGCCCCTGCTTTTTTCTTCATGACATTTACCTGTTGAAAAAGCCAGTTTATTTCTTCTGTATCCCACAATATGAATTTTCTGTTCTTCCTCATGAAGTTATTTAACTTTTCTGTCACACTTTTTGTTAAACAGGAAGCTACTTCTATAGGCTTGACTATAAGTGGTGCTTTTTACTTCATATTGTTTCACATCAGCAGACACAACTTCTCGTTGCTCTGCTCTTAGCATTCTGAGATTCATCAATGAGTTTGGGTACTAACAGCCTGTTTCCTTCACTGTAAAGGTCTCCTTTGCCTTTTCATCTAATGCAGTAGTTCCCAACATGGGGCACACGCCCCACAGGGGGCAATTTGATTTTTAAGGGGGGCAATTCGAGAATGAGTTATTAACAATGAATTTTTTTTTTTTTTTTGCATTTCTTATGGTTCTAGGGCAGTGATGGCGAACCTTTTGAGCTCGGCGTGTCAGCATTTTGAAAAACCCTAACTTAACTCTGGTGCCGTGTCACATATAGAAATTTTTTGATATTTGCAACCATAGTAAAACAAAGACTTATATTTTTGATATTTATTTTATATATTTAAATGCCATTTAACAAAGAAAAATCAACCAAAAAAAATGAGTTCGCGTGTCACCTCTGACAAGCGTGTCATAGGTTCGCCATCACTGCCTTAGCATTTCAGTTCTCTAGTATATTTTGAAACTTTATTTGCTATTTTTTCATATCACTTCATATTATTATTTTTAACAATTTCTTAGTGATTTCTTCCTCAGTACTTCAACTGTTCTTTTGTTCTTTTATTTTTCTCTTTCATGGACGCCATGTTCTTTGGAAGCTTGTTTAGACCAGGTTAATGGCCTTTTAGGCTTCTTCCACGTGAATAGGAGTTCACTTTTTGAATAATAAGAATTATATGCACAGTGGGCAGGTTTAAGGATTTTAGAGATGCTTAGGTGGGGCATGGCCAAAAAATGTTTGGGAACCACTGATCTAATGTGTTATCATCCACTGATGATCCTTGCCTGAACTGGTTGATTTTATTAGGAATTGCAAAATAGTGATTTCTGTTGGCTAGATTTCTTTGATAAAGAAGCACTGTCCCTTATAAACTTGGGCTCCTCTCTGTTGGTTTGGGTAGGAAAGGCAAAGTAAATGTGCATGATTTTTTCCCTTTAGTTAACAGTTATCAGAGTGAGGAGTTGGTGTCCTGGTTACTGCCAGTGGGGGCTCTTGTTGCTGTTCTTGCATGTAATTGTGTGCTCTCCTTTCTTAAATATCATAATGATCTTGGGATTTTATCCAGTCGGGATTGGTTCTTTACAGTAATTTTAATTTTGATGGCTGGAGAAATTGTCCTGTCTTTGGCCAACGGGAGCGCCTTCATTTTAGCTCCTCTGTCTATTTGACTTGAAAGTCTTAGGTAACTTCTGTGCGTTCTGGCACAAGAAGATGGCTTATCCTGTGCATTTCTTGACTCACATCTGGAACCAGACATTTCTCCAAAGGTCCTTGTTTCTTTTTGTGGGAAGGCAATGATGCATCACAGTCTGGACACTGGAAGTGCTTATTGCTGCGGGATTGCATTGTTTATAAGCTGTTAAGTCATAATTAAATGAAATTTTTACATTTGAAGAAATTTTAAAAGAAAGCAAACTCTAACATCTCTTTTGAGGGAAAATAGTAATTTTTCACTTTTAAAACTTTAAAAGTTTGATTTTAGCTATTATTAAGCTAATTGATCATAAAAAGCATTCAAGATATATTAGAAGACACCTATAACTGAGTATTATGCCACCTTTCTAATAGGAAATGGCTAGTGATGAGCTCAAAGAGATGAGGAAAAACTTGACCAAAGAAGCCATCAGAGAGCATCAGATGGCCAAGACGGGCGGAACCCAGACTGACTTATTCACATGTGGCAAATGTAAAAAGAAGAATTGTACTTACACACAGGTTTGTGCTTGCTTATAGATTCTTATTTTTATATTAAGAATCCTTGCAATTTTTTTCAAAACAAGGAGTGATAATAATTATCAGTATACTTTGATATTTTTCAAGAGGAAATGTGATCTCTTAAGGGTAAGAATGCTTTCTTAATATTAACAGATTTCAATTAGTTGTAAGTAAGTTGATCTGTTTATACTTTCATGGAAATTGTTACTGTGAAAGCTATATCAATTAAGTAAAATTTATAAAATATTATAGAATTTAGTAAAATGGCTGTGTTCTTTCTCTAAGGTTAATAAATAGTTGATTACCTGTGTTGGTTAGAATGTAAACAGGTTATCATTCTTTTTATTTGGTAGGCTCTTGTCCTCCTTCCTATATAATAAAAGGCTAATATGCAAATTGTCCTCTGGACCAGGAGTTCGACCAGGGGGCGGGGCCGGCCAACTGCCCGTGGCCCCTCCCCATGGCCAGGAAAGGCTAATATGCAAACTGTTCCCTTGACCAGGAGTTTGACTGGGAGTTCGACCAGGGGTGGGGCCAGCCGGCCAACCTCCCACATCTCCTCCCCCTGACTGGCCCTGCCTGATTGGCCACGAATTCATGCACCGGGCCTCTAGTAATTTAAAGAATGTTCTTGATTCTCCCTTACATAGACTTTTAGTACTTTTAGCTAAAGTGTTTTCTAGATATTTAGTCATTTTTGCAACATGATGACTTTTATATTCATAAATGATGTGATTAACTTTCCTTTTTGTTCTTTGTTGTTCTTGTTCTTGAACAGCTAAAAAGAGCCATGCTACAGTTATTTCAGTTACATGTGCATATGTGAAAATGGTATTTTATCACTGTCATTTAGTTTCATTTGCCAAATACGTTTTTGTGCTGTATCTATACTATGCTAACTCAGAATTTTTTTCCCTGAAGGAATAACTTACTGTTGTATTTCAGGTTAATGGAGATATTTAGGGAATTTAATATTCTGCTTGACAGAAAATTAAGCACTTAAAAAATAACATTACTAAACTCTATATAAATTGTAGGAAGGAACCTTTACTTTTATACATATAAAAATCTATATTTGCAACATTAAAAATCCAAAAGTACAAAAGATTAACATGAATGGAATGTCTGTCCGTCGCCACCCCCCGCCCAGGATGGCTAGTTTGTTAAGTGGCTTTCTACATGTTTTATGTATATACTTGCAAACATAAATATGTTACTTTTGTGTTTTTATAAACACTTTGGTAGCATGTTTTATAAGCTTCTGCCTCTTTTTTATATTTTAAAGGTGTATAAAACTTTATTTTCAGATGTACATTATTTAACCAATCCAAAGTTCTTTACCTTTTTGAAGTGTTTCATTTAGTCATAGTTGTACATCTGATATTTCAGTATTTTTATTTTGTAGAAGTATTACTACTGGTAGTTACTAAAATATATCAGTATATGAAAGTAGTCTCATAAAATTCTAAGTTGAAATTGCTTTATTTTCTTTCATTATTAGAAAAATCGCAGCAATAAAAATTCTATCCTAAAAATGCCACATAAAGTATAAATAGAAAGGTATTTAAAAGTTAAATCTTTGAAACTTAAAAACAGCTATGATAAAAAGCAAACATTGTGTCTTTTAACGGAAAGAACCTAGTTTAGAGATGAAGTCAGTATGATTTTCTTAGAGTCAAAAAATCCTCTCTTTAGATAGAAAATTTCCAAATTTGTTGGCAAAACAACCAACATAAAAGAGTTAAGTGTGACTCTTGGCTAACAAGTACCCACCAGGAGATCAAAATTTTTCCCAGAGAGCAAAAGGTTCCTATATTAGCTTTTAGGGCCCTGTGGAGCAATATTAAGTACTAGAGGCCCGTTGCACGAAGAGATTCATGCAATAGGCCTTCCTTCCCCTGGCTGCTGGCACTGGTTTTCCTCGGCACCCGGGACCCAGGCCTTCGCTCTGACTGCTACAGAGACATGTTTCTCTTTTATTAGTGTAGATATGTAAAATATTTCAGAAGGATTTTTTAAACCATTTTTATCTGAAGGCCTTAAATAGGCAAAATGCTGCTGTTTTGAGACTGATTCTTTATCTTTGGGCTTTTGAGTTAAAAGTCATGTTTATAATTGGTTTCATGGAGCTTCTGATCTTTGAAGTGGTGATATACTGGGATTTTATCATATTAAAATTAAATATACCTATTCAAAATGCAGTATTGTTAGAATTTAAGTTCTTGCCTTGGCCCATCTTCCTCTTCCCCACATAAACTAAAGAATAACTTTTAACTTTAATAATGCTTTGCCAAATTCATTTAGAAGTATATACTTTAAAAGAAATAACATTCCTATTTTTGAAACCTTTAGTTCCAGTAACGTCAGAAGTCTCTAACCTTGTGTAGATAAAATCTTAAAAAAATCATATTAGCTTATTTATTTTTGCTGAGTTATCTAATTTTTTAAATTAAAAAATTTAAAATTTTTAATTGTAAAAGAAACAACTTAAAAACTTACTATAAAGCTCCTCTTGCAAAACTGAACCTCTATACCCATTAAACAGCAACAACTTCTCTTCCCCTCTTCTTCCCAGCTCCTGGCAACCACCAGTTTCTGAATTTGACTATTTTAGGTAGTCAAATGAATAAATGGAGTTACACAATATCTGTATTTTTGCGACTGGCTTATTTCACTTAGCATAATGTTCATAAAGGTTTATCCATATTGTAGCGTGTGCCAGAATTCCTTCCTTTTTAAGACTGAATAATAATCCATTGTATGAGTGTACAAATAACATCTTTGAGACATTGTTTTAAATTTTGAGAATATA